TTCCTGATATCAAATGCAACAGCAAGCAGAAACACCAAAATGACAGCCAGGATTTGGAGGCAGATTTATTTATATCAATGAGCACTGATCGGAATCATTCCCATAATATCAGGCCCCAATCTGTTGTGGTCTAGGGCTTATATGGGATAAGCGAGCAGGAAGTACAGAGACAGAATGGCTTGTCAATTGGAGATTAGTTTGTACAGTGTGCATCATAATGATCAGCTGTTTGTAAGAGACAGAAGCAGCTGGAACAGGAACTGTTACCTGGCAGGTAACAAACTGAAGTATATTGGCTTGGGGGAGGGGTGCATTTTCTGCTACAATAAAATATAGTTATTACTCATATTAGTGACCCAAACTGTTAGGTTATAGATAGATGTATGGATTGACATCTGGAAAAGAACGTATAACATACTTGAGGAGGGTGGGCTGGGGAGGCTCAGTAGAAGGACCTGAGTTCGATCCCTGGTTCTGCCAAAAAATAACGCATACTTGAGGAGGGGGAAAAAAAAAAAAAAAAGCTTTAAACAACTTTCAAAGCGATAAGGGTAGAATTTCTTCATCATATTAAGATGCCTAAAATTAATAAATTGTATAAGCACAACTCATTTTACAGTTGGTTTTAAGGGAAAATAAAACAAAAAACCTTTTGTTGTAAAGAGTTGATTGACCTGGTCTATTAGTGGGCTTGTTTATATGACTAAAAACTAACATTTTCAAAAGATGCTATGGGGCAGAAGTGTGGCACACCTGCTGCCCCATACCTGTGATCCCAACACCAAAGAAGTTAAGGCAGCAGGATCACCGAGAGTTTGAAGCTGGTCTGGGCTACACTATTAAAGAGCAGTCTGAGCTATGTAGTGGAAAAAAAAAAAATAGAGGTCCTAAAAAAAGGCTTGTTTGCCTTTTTAAAAACCGTGTAGTCTTTGCTTAAATTAAGTACTTCAGGTGTGGTTTTTAAAAAGAATTATTGTGTTTTATAGGGAATCCTGGCAAGGCTTTAAAAGCAAAGGTTTTAAGGGGCTGGGGAGGTAGCTCACTTGCACAAGGGCCTGAGTTCAATCCCCAGTTCCGCCAAAAAAAAAAAAAAAAAAACCAAAGATTTTAGATTTTTCCCTCCTTAAGTATGTATTCTTTGCTAGATGTCAATGTGTACATCTACCTATAACCTAACAGTGTGGGTCACTAATATGAATAATAACATGAGTTTTGGAAACTATTGGTGACCTGTAAGTGGAGTGGTACACTCTTGTAATTATCTGAAAGTTTTATGCTTTGGCTATAAATTGATCATAACATTAGAAATGTTTCTTTGACATAAAACATTTCTAATAAGACTGTTTGTTCTAAGAAAATATTTTTTAAAAAAGCTTCTAGCCAGGGCCAGCAAGATAGCTCAATCATCTAAAGCGCCTGCTTAGGCAAGCTTAGGCAAGCATGCAGGGACCATAGTTTAATCCCTGGTACCACATGCCACACTAGCCCCATTCCCATGCATGGGCTGAGTCAGCCACAAAAAAAACAAAACAAACAAACAAACAAACAAAAAATCAGAAAAAACCTCCCAGGCCAATGAGATAGCTCAGCAGACTAAGTGCCTGCTTAGGGAAGCACAGGGAGTGGGGTTCAATCCCCAGCACCACATGCCACACCGGCCCTGCCCTCAAGCACACTGCGCTGGTCAGAGTCTGGGCATGATTATGTATGCCTGTAATTCCAGCACTGGAGAGGCTGAGAATAGGGGAATCACTACGAGTCTGAGCTGCGTAGTGAAACTCTGTACCATGTACCAGATACATGAAGAGAAAACAAACAAAACCCTCCAAAGGGATAATGTCAGAATCTTTTTTCTTAGCCAGGTATGGTTAAGAACTCAGGAGTCTGAGGCAGGAGGACTATCCAGAGTTCGAGGCCAGCCTGAACTACTCAGTGAGAACTTAATAAAATAAAACCAAACAAGTCTTTGTGATGAAAGCAACAATACTTAAAATATCAATCCATTCATAGTAAAATTTACAACTGAGCTAGGTTTTACTTTTATGTAAATAATTTGGTATATTTCCTGTCTGTTATGACTTGTGTCTAGATGTCCCCTAAAACCTCATAGGTTCATAGGTGGGAATTTTCAGAGTTTGTGGTGCTGGGATTACGTATGTGATACTGTCATTAGTGGTTTGTGATTACTAAATTATTCCACTGATTTGTTCAGCACAGTTCTGCATGTGGATAATGGGACTGCTACATGTGCATCGTGTCATCCCCCAAGCACCCCCCCCCCAAAAGAGTGCTCCACACCCTGGAGCTGTGTAGCCTGGATAGAACATGCAGGATGGGAAGAGGGCTGCTGCTGTCACTGGCTGCTGCCGCTTCCCTACTCTCTGCTCTGCTGCCTTCTGCCCACCATGAACTATTTTTCCTTTGTGCTGCCCCTCTGCCATGCCACCCTGCCTTGGAGCCAGCCAACTGGAACTGAAATATCTACAAACTGTGAGCTAAATAAATGATTACTTCTTTAACTTTGGACATTGAGTATTTTGTCTCAGCTATGAGAAAAGTAACCAAGACACCATATTTATTATGTTTTTATTGTTTAGGAAAATTAAGTCTTAGTTAACCTTCTATGTCTGTTTAAACTTTTGGTTATACAAACTACTATTATATTTGATGTGCTTTAATTTTTAAAATGCCACTATCCTGGTACAATGTAGTCAGTTATGACTGGTGTCTTAATGTGCTAAAAAGTTAACTTATTTGATCCCTGGGCCTGCTGTGCAGGCCCTGCCTGAGAGGCATGCTGAGTCAGCAGTTGAGACTGGGCATGGTGGCGTGCACCTGTAATCCCAGCACTTGGGAGGCTGAAAACAGGAGAATCACTATGAATTCAATCTACATAGTGAGACCTTGTAGACCCTGTACTAAACACAGAAAAAAAAAGCTGAATTTTTTTTGATAAATTCCTACCTTGTTTATTGCTGATAGTCACATAATTAATAAGAGTTACTTGTGTGGTGATTATCCCTGAATTTACATAATCTCAAACCCTTCAAGACTGACAGTAGCAGAATAGGCAATATCCAAGGACATCCAGCTATGCTTGAGAAGTATTGAGGTACTGTCCTAAACTTTTGGTCACCTGGGAATAGGCCATTCTCCAACAGCAATCATTCTAGGACCGTGGCACCAGGACTGAGATCATGCTCGCTCCCAGCCTGGCAGCTGATCCTTATATGCTGGCCTTTTGCTTTTGGGGCCAGTCAAGTGTAAACCCTGGTGTTAGAGAATGCCCCTTGTAGCTACTTAAGCTGGAGTCCTTTCCTATCTTTCCTCTTAACTTTCCAATTAAAACCTTTCTATAAATTTCTGCTTTAATTTCTATTATTCCTAAAAGCAAAGATCCAAACTAGCCTATAGCACTTACTCAGAAGCCTTCAGATAATTCTTTATAGAAATTCTAGAGATTTCCCATTTTCGCATGACCTCGCACTTTTCTGTTCCTCTCAATCTTTTGTGCTTTTAGCAACAAGGATAAGGTCATTAATTTAGGGATCTTCCATGAGTTTATGCTCTCAAATGAAAAGAATCAGCAGGTCCTGTGCTTCACAGTACAAACAGTATTGACCAAATCTTGCCGAATTTGACCAGGGCTCTGTTGGCTTGATAAGGGCTCTAACTCTTCTGAAGAGGTTTTGGATAGTGTTGGTTCTACTTTAATGTAAAAAAGGCCAGCTTGTTGTGATATATTTGAATGTGAAAAGTACCTCTTTTGAACAGGACTGCGTTGCATTTTCCCTCCACTTTTCCTTCAGAGCGATTTTCAAGTACATACTCCGGATACCCTCACCACCTTAGCTTTTGTGTGTAGGGCTCTACTTGACTCGCAGATCATCCTTGGAATGTAATTTCAGAGTTGAGATCTGCTAACTGCTTATTTGAGCTCATGTAAATTAAAACTGATCCTCTTGCTGTGCAGGAGAAAGATTCTGTTCCTAAAGGAACTTATCCTTTCATTTCTGGGAGACAAATTAGTTTGGGAAACTTCTCAGATTAGAGTCCTTGACAAAGCAACCTTATATATGAAGAACTAAGATACTTAGGGATAGTTAGTAACAGCAGGTCATACAAATTAGAGAACACTCTGAACTTTAGAATTTAGAAAAAAAATCACATTAGGTAATCATTTTTGTGGCAAAATATAGAGTGAGAAAAATGGAATTCCCAGTTAAATACCGGCACAGTACATCCTCAAGGTAGATAGTAAAGAATAAGTCTGGGTGCTGTAGGGAAAATTGCTAGTGACTTGGTTAGAAAAAGTTGTATGTTTTATAGTGAAAAAAAGTTGTATGACTGATATTTTGTCATTGCCAAATTTAGTTTACTCAGTGCTTTTTACTTCATCCTGAAAATGTTGATTTTTATTTGTAACATTCATAAGTGTGGAAATAGACTGAATTAATAGAGAGATTATAATTTTTCCTTTAAGATAAATTACATACAAGGTAAGCTCAGAATGCTGAAGTGCTGCTAGAATAAATGAACCATTTCACTTCTTTCATGAAGTTTTCAGTGTTTGTAACTGTGATATTCTGAAGGATAGAGAAGGAAGGTTTTTAAGTACTTACTTTGCTTAATTTCACACTTGTTTAATATTTCCAAACTGATTGTTCTTTTTTACTTCTGTCTCTATGCACATAAAATTTATTTTGCATTCGTTTTATTAGATCCCACATCAAGTTGGATGTGGTGACACGCACTGTCATCCAAGCACATGGGATGTTGAAGCAGGAGGATCACTGTGAGTTTAAGGCCAGCCTTGGCTATATATTGAGCTCAAAACCAGCCTAAACTACACAGTGAGACCCTGTCTTAAAAAGCAGAAAGGAAAAAAGAAACATACTGAATCAGCCCTGGGTTGTTATATGTTTCTGACACTTGTCGCTTAGAAAGTGAAGTTGATATGTCTGTCCAACTTCATATTTGTTTCTTTTTCTCTCATGTAGAATCCCAAGGACTGCCACACAGCCAGGAAGCTGGTGTGTAACATCAACAAAGGCTGTGGCTATGGCTGTCAGCTCCATCACGTGGTCTACTGCTTCATGATTGCATATGGCACCCAGCGGACACTCATCTTGGAGTCTCAGAATTGGCGCTATGCTACTGGTGGATGGGAGACAGTGTTTAGACCTGTGAGCGAGACCTGCACAGACAAATCTGGCGTTTCCAGTGGACACTGGTCAGGTAAGAAGCTTTTGCAGTGTCAGATTTCTGGCATGACCAGATTAACAGATTTCTAGGTACATTTTCATGGATCAAAGTCACCTTTTCTTTTGGATCCAGGTATGCTATGGTATCCAAATAAGAAGAATATTACATTTTTCAAAATATATTAATGGTTTGTTTCATTTGTGGTATTTATTTGTATCTAGATTTTACAAAACCACTGAAGACTTTAAGGAATACAACTTAATCTTTTAACAGTAGTGATACAGCATTCACTTTTTAGGGTGCGTTCACATTATTGAATTCATTTGATCCTTATAAAGTGAAATGTTGTATAAAGTTTTATATATTGTATACAGCATTTTATACAATGTATGATTTACTTATAAATTTTCACAATGTATAAAGTAGACATATGGTTCTCAAACATTAGCATGCCTGAAGATTAACAGATTAACACCATATTCAGCTTGTCTCACTTTTATGTGATTTTTATTTTATTCAGGAAACATATCCTGAAGAAACGAGTGAATTGAGTTGTGCTACACATTCTAAAATGATTAAAAAAGATCATTCCTTCTCTCCATGGAAGTGATAGACTATATTGTCTTCCTGCTACTCTACTGCTTTTTTTTTTTCCCTACTGTCATGATCTTTAAGGTCTAAAGTTGAGCTATCTCTGTTTTAAATCCTTGTTTTATCATTCTGTAGTATTAGGGAAATTACTTACCTAGGTCTTATTTTTCTTGTCAGTAAAATGAGGAGTAATAACTTCCTTCACTGAACTGTTTATAGCATTGAATAATATAGGCAGTACACGTGCCACGTGATAGAGCTTTAGTAATTGTTGGCTACTCTTAACAGCCATTACTTATTGAGCAAGCACGTAAAGGGTGCTTACAGCACAGCAGCAGGTAGGGAACTGAGTGATGAGAACCAGTGCTAACCAGGACAGCACATTGTTTCTGCACTCATCTTTTGTGGGCAGTCAGACGTATTCCAAAAGCTGGTGGGCATGCATGTGGGGTTTTGTTGTTGTTGTTGTTGTTGTTATTTTTGGGGGGGGGTTGTTTGTTTGTTTGGTATGGTTTGTTTGGCTTTACCTCCTTAGTGTGTGTGGGGAACATACCTGACTATCCACAGCAGTGTCATGAAAATTATTTGGGTAATTTTTAAAAATATATATTGAGTGGTTTTATAAAAGCCCCTATGGATTAATAGTACTATAGATTATGTATAAGCTGTATATCAATATGTTTTTCTTTATAAGTAACTTCATATTTTACAATTTCTCTTAATCTAGAGCCTCACTGTGTGCTAGTTTTAAGATTATGTTTTCCTGGTCTGTAGCTTATCAATAGTGCTGGCCGATAAGATGTAAAAGTTAAGACAATACTCTACTAAATTTTTCAACCTTGCAAAGAAGTTTTGCCATGCTTGCTAGTGCTGATATTTTTCATTTCATGAACTTAATTCAGTTTTAACTTTTCTGGTTGTGAAAATATATAGCCCAAGTAGGACATATATGATGTCCTCTGTTTCCCTGTTTCTAGAGAGAGACAACTCCTCCCTCCTTCTCCCTCCAGTACTGAGGATTGAATTCAGGCCTCGTTTAAGATGAGATGTCTGAGTCCCTCATTTGTCCATGCCAGACTCAAGCTTGGCCCCTCCTGGCTCAGCTTCCAGAGTGCTGGCATTACAAGCAGGCACCACCACACCCAGTGAGAGGCAATTTTTTGAGTAGTAATTGATTATTAGAAATGTAAAAAGATACTCTCAGTAGATTTATCAGATTTAGTATACAATTTGGCTCTGCCTATATGCAACAAGGTTTGGTTTGTGTGATTTTTAATCCTTTATATTTTTGTAGTCCACAGGTTAAAATTAATTTCAGACATTCAGAATTTCATAACATTATAGGTAAACAAGATCTAGAAATCATCCTTTGCTTAAAAAAAAAAAAAAAAGAAAAGAAAGAAATCATCCTTTGCTTATCCTTTGCTAGTTGAGGCTAAATAACTTTTCCAGGGTCATAGAATTTATATAAATGACAGACCTTTAATTAATATATTTATTTCTGCCTACTTCCAGGCTAGATACCTCCCCGTAAACTCATGCCAAATACCTTACTTTACCCAAACAAGGATTAGAAGCATAGAAACCACCTGGAATGTCTAGGAGCTAAATAAATATCTTTTCTGTCGCTCTTCCTTCCATATACTATAACTCGTTTCAGACCTTATATAACTTTCAGTATTGAGTCACTGATTATTTCTTAGTCATTTACACTCCCTGATTAAAGAATTCATTTTATCATGGTGCAACAGAATTATAATTTTAATTTAATAGATCTTTTATCTACCACCATATTATTGTGTAAATATCATACTTTATCTTCATGCTAATGAATTAAATTATACTTTTAATTAATCTAGTGATTGTGTGTGTGTGTGTGTGTGTGTGAGACCAGGGGGGAGGAGAGAGGAAGGGAAAGAGAGGGAGAGAAAGGGAGAAGAAGAAAGAGGGAGAAAGAGTGTGTGTCTTGCTATATAGTTCATGCTGGCCTTGAACTCACTATATGCCTCAGGCTAGCCTCAGACTCACAGGAATCCTCCTGCCCCAGCCTCCCAAGTGCTGAGATTCTAGGTGTATGCCACTATACTTGCCAACTAGTGATTATTTTTAACATGCTTGCTTTTGTTAAATAAAGGAAAATATTAAGGATTATGCTTCCAGTTAAAAATAATCATACCATCTGCACATATAATGTCCTAAAAGTTTTGTTTCAGAGGCTGCTGATAAAATGATCAGTTTATTTTTCTATGCCACACAGTATTTCCTGACCATGAACTAACTACATGCGAAACACCTGGCTCTGCCACACAGATTCCTTGTGATGATCCAGAATGGGAATCTTTCAGAGTCAGGGTCTTATTATTAGTCTCAACTGGCCTTGAGCTTGCTCTGTAGCCAAAACTGTACTCAAACTCGTATGATTTCTCTTAGCTTCCTGAATGTTAGGAGTGTTGGGATTATAGGAATATGCTGCCATATCCAGCTCATTTGCTTCTCTGTTTAATGGTTTGAAGTATCCTTAAATGTTATTGATTTATTTTTAGATATATTCGCTGTTTTAATATATGTATAACAATCAGCTTCCAAAGAGCTTTTCTAGTTGATATAAATATTCTCAAGTAAGTGATTTAATGATAGAGAATCCCAGCCACTTAAACGTAATTCTTTACTTTTTTTCTTTTATAAATATTGAAAAACCATTCATATTAACAGATATTATTTTGGCTGCTTTATCTTTGCTTCTCTTATCTTCCTCCCATTGCTTTAATAAATATGTAACAAATAGAAGTGAAAATTATTTAATATGACAAATCTAACTGGAAAACTTTTTTTAAATGTAGTTGGTTGTTGCAGGGTCCAACTACGCAGCTCAGACTCATGGTGATTCTCCTACTTTTAGCCTCCCCAGCACTGGGATTATAGGCATGCACCATCACACTCAGACTCTGGCCAGGTCAACCCACCCAGGAAGCAGGGCTGGTGCCTCATGTGGTGCTGGAGATCAAACCCTGATCCCTGCGCTTGCCTAAGAAGGTGCTTAGTCCACTGAGCTATCTCGCCAGCCCTGGAAAATATTTTTTGTAAATGAAAATAATGACTAATAAGAAATAGTTTGTCCCAGAGGTGCCTGATTTGAGTACTTGTTATAAAATAGCCATTTGTAATATTTAGTCATCTAAAAAATACTAGATGCTTAAATTCTCTCTATGCCTCATTCTAAAGTGGGTTGGGTCAGAAAGGTTTACTTAATATACATGCTAAAGGTTTGCATGGAGGCAGCCTTAGATTAGCAGTGATTGAGCCTGGGAACAGGCATGTGTGCCTCTAGACCCAGCTGTTTGAGAGGTTGAGACATGAGAATGGCTTAAACCTACAAACTGAAAACCAGCCTGTGCAGTGTAGTGAGGCCCTGCCTCACAGTACGTAACTGGATAGAAGCACTTGTAGTGTGGCAGGCAACCACACTGGGCTATGTGGAGAAGACACAGTGCTTTCCTTTCTGGGATTTTGGTAGACAAAAGCAGATAACTGAATGAATAGTTAAAGTATCTTTTGATAATGTAACATGGATAAAAGTATTTTGAAACATAACTTTTGCACATATGTGGAGATTTTGGAAGCAGTAATTTTTAAGCGGAGACCTAAAGTATGAGTATGAGTAGGAGTCAACCCGGTAGAGACAATGGAAGACTTTTCTGTAGGTGAGTGCTAGTACATGAAAGAAGCCAGAGAACACAGAGCCATTGAGAGAACTGAAAGCAGTTCATTGTAAAGTGGGAATCTTGAATAGAGCTAAAGTTCTTTTTTAAAAATAAGTGTCACTTTCAGGGTTATCATTTGGATTGTTGCATGATTTTTGTTCTTTGTTGACACTAAGATTTTAATTTAGAAGTCAAAGCTTTTTGTTTCTGGTTCAGAGTAGACAAAAGTTATAGAGAATCAGATTGATTTCAGCTTTTTCTTGGTGTTATCTTAGAATAATCAAACTCTAAGCAAATATCTTAGGTCAGGAAGAAAATCTTTAGCAAACAGAGCTTGGACTAAAATATACCTTAGGGCTGGGAAGATAGCTCAGCAGAATAAGCGCTTGCCTGGCAAGCACAGGGTCCTGAGGTCAGTCCCCCATACCATAAGAAAAAAATTAAAAAAAAAAATATATATATACCTTAGATAATTCCTATGGAGGTAATATTTTTAATTTTCATAAAACTAATACATATATTAAAATTATCTAAATGCTCTAATGTAATGCTTAATAGAAGCCTACATCAGGTAGATTCTTAATGGATGGACTAATATTATCCAATAAATATGATTGAAAATATATAGGTATATTATGTCTGTTAGTACAGGCCATACATATGTTTCTATATGCTACTTTTACAGAAATTTTTCTGGTCTCAGATATTTAGATTAATAGAAATATGAATTAAAGGCATATA